CAGCAGGAAGACTTGACCCCACTCCTGAGGATCACACCTTTAGCTTCCCAGCACATTCCAGTGCCTTAGCTGCTTAACATGATGCAAGATTAGCCCCTAGAATAATTTATACCTTCATCCCTGGTTCACAAGCCACTAAAAAAAGTCAGTAAATGACTTGCTTGTTACCATCCACTGGATATTAGTAGTGTAGATAAACTGGCCTATCTTTGGACTAGACTGTCATACCTAACAGGACATAGTTATTTTGCATATTCCCTCAGACCCTAACTTTTAAGAATGCTGTGTACTCAGAGCTTTCAACTGATTTAAGTTAATCCAGATCTTTGATACTCAAAACTGCAAGCTATTCTTCCCAAATAATCAGATCCTTAACCTTGGGGAACAAGAAATTTTTATCAGTGCTATGCTTCAATATTATACAGCAGTATATATCTTCTCATAACAAAATCACCCATCCATCTGAACCAGCAGTTTCAAATATAGCAAGGACCTATTTGTGAGTTAACGGGTACAGAAAAACTTCAGTCCCTGGACTAACTTCACCACTATATTGTCACTGTTTTCCATCTGATAAAGCTCACTATGCTAAAACTTTTTTTTCTAAGGGTAAACACCCCAAAGAAAAATCAGTCAAACTTTGTTGCTAACCAGCATTCACAAAAGTATGCATGGGCAAGAGTGGAGTCTTGATGCTCCCCCCGCGAATACTGTATTTATACATGTATGTATTATGTTTGTATAAAGGTATACACTACATGTCTGACACCAAAAAAATAACAAGCACAGGTCTGTAGTCATTCTCTACAATTGGCTCTTAATAATATAAAACCTAGCAGCAAAATTTCTAACCTCTCTAAAGGTTTACAAAATTTTTTACCCTGTAAGCAACAAGTTTCATGAAAATTCAGTTTGTTTGTGAAACAAACCAAACCCGCCAAACCCTGACTTACCACTGAATCAGTTTGTGTCCAAGACTGCCACCCTCAATCAAAATGAGGGGAAGATCTTTCACCTTAATGTGACTAAAGGGGTACTAACGGTTATGAAAACTAAAATAGAGACTATGGAGGGGCCAAAGCTTCCATCATCAGCTCCATAATTTATTGCCACCAATTTCGGAGGGACTGGAGTGTGTTTTATGAGGAAATAGTTAGGCCCCAAACATCCATTTTAGTGTCTAACTAGCCAGTCTGATGGCTCAAAATATCCAACTGTTTTCTGACACGGTCATCTTGGGTAATGTTTCTCTAAGCAGGCACGAAGCTCTCACCACCTTACCCCAACTTACGTAGTATTCATGCTTTATTCACTTGCTCTAAAATAAGCTGGAAAATTCAGTATTAAGTATCCGAGCTAAACAAGTAGAAACCAGATATATTTAGTGTCAGAGGTGCTTGGCAAGTAGTTTTTGTTTGGCAAGAGAAGTTGGACATACCTGGGACTACCTGGGCTGTGAAACTCCTCCTTTCCACAGCTACTCTCATTGAGGCTGTGGCAAGTATTATGGACAGCATACACAGACATGCTGGGATGCTCTATCAGGAGGTTCTCCATAGGACTGGTTTCCACTTTTATAGTGGTTAATCCACCTGCAGTAAAACATGGGGGAGGGGTAATAAACCAGCTCTCCTCCATGGGGCACGAATCAAACTGGATGAAACAGGACTCGGTAGCCTCCGGCAAGTGTTCCAAGGGAGCGGGCAAACAAGGGAAGACGGGCGAGCTGTCCGCAGCCGAGGGCTTGGGGATGTCCTCCTCCTCTGTGGAGCAGCTAGTGCAAGTGTCCGCTGGAGGCAGGCGGCAGGACGCGGAGGAGAATCCATGAACGATGGTGGTTGCAGAAGATTGAAAACAGCAAGGTCAAACGTAGTCAGAAACAGGATACAAAAAACAAAGAAACAGAAATAAGCCACTATCAGCATGTACACAAAAACTTTTACAAGCAAGGGGAGGGGAAAGGGAGTTCCCTGACAACTCATGTTAGACACGCAAGACAACTGTTATCAATAAAGCAATACAATTGTGTAATAAGTCAAATGTTTTATCTGTACAAATGGTTCTGCTGAAGCCCGAGTGTGTCAAGCTTATAAACATGACATCACTTTCTCATCAGTTTACATAGTATGTTTGGTTGGTTTGTTTGGAAAGCACCCCTCACTTAACCTAAGCTGAAACAGCGGGGAATGAAGTTCCTTCTGAGTCACTGGTATCTTTCTCTGGAAGTACAACAAACAACTACAGCAGGAAGGAGGCAGAACTTGTTTTTGACAGACATCTTACCTATAAAATCAACCAGAATCCATTCTTCATCTTCTTTCTCACTGAACTCAGGCTCCTGGCTGGACAAGCTATCAATCTCTCCCATGAGCATGTTATTTAACCGACGGAACATTACTGAGGCAGGAAAGAGACTTTGGTTTGTAGGTCCTTATGTCCAAGGTTCAAGGCACAGCTCAGACTCTATCAGCAGAGTGGCACAGACTTGACAGCAAAGTGCGTAGATGCTTTATCAGCTTAGGTACGGGACATGCAGAATCATGACGGGCAAACAGCTCATGTGAGACCTGCAAAGCGATGACAAAACACCCCTATGGAACAAAGGGTAAGAAAAAAAAAAAAAGCCCACCAAATACAAGCACCAAAAGCCCCAGACAACCTATTATTAGTCCAGTTTGAGGTAGCAGAGAAAGTATTTCCTAGCAGGAAACACAGCCTCGCTAGCACTCCTCATTCCCTCCCAGCCACATAGCACAGGAAGCCCTCAGTCTCCTCACGGGGCTGCTGGCCTTCCTCCCCGACCCTCCTCCCACGCAGGGGCCTGTTTGGCTCCGGACCCTCGCTCTCCCGTGCCAACGGCACACAAGGACACTCATGCAGAGATGCTGCATCTGAGGCCTTCCTCTCTCCCATTGTCCTCCTGAGCAGAGGGAAAGGCCTGAAGGGCAAATGCACAGACTGAAGCAGCAAACGGCATCTTTTCTGTTTGGAGAACCTCACACCTCAGCACACACAAACGCACCCCTGAGACTCCCAAAGGCTCCCCATGGTGCCCACAGAAGCGTTTTTCCCTTCTCTCTCCTCATCATGCGTGACTCAGGGCCACTGCCTACAAGTTAGTAGGAAAGAACAAACTCTCTTCAGGTTCAAAGTGCACTCACTGCCTAGCTACCAGGGGAGTTTTTCCACAGCAGTTATGTAATCGTGTAGGAAAAGAGTAGCTTCAGTATATTTTAATTAAAAGCAACAGTTCCTCAGTAGCATATTTCCCTAAATCTACATTTAGGGACAATCGCTGTAGGCCTGAACTCTATTTAGATTTGGAAATTAAGACCAAAAATACTTTAACTACTGACAAGTTGAACATTCAGCCTTCTCAGATCACCATAATGGCACTCAAAACATTTATGTATTGAGCAAATAAACAGAAGCCATGAAATAGCTAAGTAACTTAAACGCAATGTAGGAGTAACATCTAGTCATTTAACTACAAATTAGAGTTTCACCAAAATTGTATTGGAATTACCGTAGCATCTTTGGACAACTAGAGATTAAATATCCATTTTAACAATTAAATAGAGGAAAAGATATTCATGTGAGGGTAAGAATGTCTCCACAGACACAGAAAGCAAGTCATGAAAGAGACTTCCAAACACAATCAGCCATTTATACATATATATATAGTATACATATATATGTATACATATATATATTTATATACATATATAAAAATGCACAAAATGTTACTGAACTCCATTATACCCTGCTCAGTCCATACTAAAGGGTCATTTTTGCCTCCTATGCAGTCTTAGCCCAGACTTACATGGGGTCTTATCCCAGACTCCATCACCTACTTGTTAAGTGTAGCAATGAGCAACTGCTTCCTGCAACACTGACCCTTGCACACAGGCATTAATGGAGCTACCTCCTTCCTGGAAACGCACAGGAAGATAGGATTAGAAGCCAAAACTGTCTTCTCAAGTCAAAAGCAACATGGTGAGGTGTAGTGTAATTTAAGAAATTAGGCACTTGGTAATTCTTAGACAGGAACAAGTGACCCAGCTACATTTATGATAAAAGGGTACTACAGATAACACATTGAATGCATGTCAACAATATTGTATTGTTGCATAAAAAGGTTAAATGCCAGAACAGGCTATATATTGCAGTCAAACTCTTGTACTAGGGGCTAACCAATTAGTTCCCTTCAGCACTGCTAAGCTGAGGCCTTAAGTCTGTATCTAGTTCTTAGTACCACACTTGCAGAAGTCCAACATCGAAACAAATCTAGACTCGAACTAAAGGAATGATCAGAAGTGTAAGACTGTATGAGAAGAGATTAGGAAAAAAAAAATGGAAAAAAGCAAGATGACAAGTGTAGTCATGTAGTGGGAAAGCAGGCAAACAACCAGTTACCCCTGTCTCTTAAATGTGCAGCAGGGAGATACAGCAGCAGAGGCTTTTATTTGCAGTTAGATTCTGTTTTCAATGATTAGCAGGGAAGTTTTTTAACCACAGACATTACAAAACCCAGGCAGATTTTCTACGGAAACAGAGAACTTCCACAGAGAGTTGTTGCTAAACATCTATCTCCTCAATAAAGGTTTAAATACTTAAAACAAAGACAGAACTTGCCATGGGTGAGTAAACAGCACTCTAGGGCAGAGCCTGCAGTTTTCCAGTTATCTTCTGCATCTATCCATAACACTTCTGGCACAAAGCCTGGGCAGGAGGAGAAAAAAAAAGTTAGATTTTTCTTTACATTAGCTAGCACTACACAGCACATCCGCAGCCGTGCCCACAGCGAGGACCTCCGGGGGCTCTGCCCTGCGCCCCCGGCACCTCCCTAGGATCGCGGCCGCCCTTGATCCCACACAGGGAGCCGCGGAGGAGCGCAGCGAGCTC